CCAATGATTGAAATAAATGGGTTTCAGAATGATTTTGTGATTTTTCATTATTTTTAGTATCCCATGTAGTAGGATGTAAGCTAAATAGAATTAAGTCCTGGGTCGTCTGTTATCCTAACTATAGTCAGTGTAACTCAGCTCTTATTTTTAGTTTATATTATAAATGTTCTGGGTCATATTTCATTTGAAAGGAGTTTTGTTCCTTTAAAAGTTTGAGAATGAAAGTATGTTATAAAATTACTAAATTATTAGTTTTTTATGGTTGAAAGACTGGACAACTTGGCTTTCCCATGGTTTAGTGTTTTAGGTTTCTCTTACAGTCAATACCAAGCTGAATGGTATGCTAGTCGGAGCCAGTACAACAGTTTTTATAGTTTTTTTTTCTACTTACACTATTAAAAACATAATTGATGCAAGACAATATTATAAAAAATAGTTTCTGATTTGAGACCACTGTAAAATGAAGCCAAGAACAGACCAAAACACAACTTGATGGCACTTAACCATGTAGATAGAACTATTCCAATTTATATGTATATAGAATAGGGGTAAAATTGAGAGAATCATAAGGGAGGATAATTTGGCAATGTGAACAAAAGCTTTAAAAAAATGTTTCTGTTCTTTGACTTTAACTATCCACTTCTTGGAGTCTTTTTAAGGGGAAAATTACTGCTCCCTAGTCCACTCAATATAATTTGATTTGGCAAACTGCCGTTCTCTCATTTCATGTTATTTTGGTGGACCTGACAATCATGTGACCCTATCAAAAAAGTGGGAATAGGACACAGCTTGACAAGTCAAAAGACTTCAGCCTTTGGGACATGGTGAGGGGTACATGAGTTGACTGTGACCCAAGTGTTGAGTCTTTTTTGTGAATTGATAAGGACACTGAAAGAGAAAGGGTCACAGGCTGTAGAACTTATTTATTTGAGCCACCTTTGCCATCATATAACTGGTCCAACGCAAAGGAAAAGAAAAGTGGACTTGAGAAATAGAGAGTCAGGTTCCTAAAATGACAGTCCTGAAGACATCTTATGAATCCCAGTATCCAGCCATGACTGAAGCACCATCACTTGGACTCCCTGTTAGAGTCAAATATTTTTCCTTTTTTATTTAAAACATTATTTTATTTTATTATTATTTTTTTTAACGAAGCATAGTTGACACATAGTATTACATTAGTTTTAGGTACATTTTCTTTTTTAAAAGCAATTTTTGAGTTGGGCTTCTGTTCCCTTGCAACCTAAAGTGCTCTATGTGTAATCCAAAAAGTAAGAAAATATGTCGATGTGTGAAGATATTCCATGCCTTGTTTTTTATAATTATTTTTTAATAAAAGCATTTTTGAGATATAATTCACATACCATACCATTCACCCAATTAAAATATATAACTCAGGGCGCCTGGGTGGCTCAGTTGGTTAAGCGACTGCCTTCGGCTCAGGTCATGATCCTGGAGTCCCTGGATCGAGTCCCACATTGGGCTCCTTGCTCGGCAGGGAGTCTGCTTCTCCCTCTGACCCTCCCCCCTCTCATGCTCTCTCTATCTCATTCTCTCTCTCAAATAAATAAATAAAATCTTTAAAAAAAATAAAAATAAAAATAAAAAAATAGTAAAATAAAATATATAACTCAGTGGTATTTAGTATGCTCACAAATGGTGCAATCATCACCACAGTTTTAGAACATTTTCTTCACTCTAAAAAAACTCCCATCCCTACCAGCAGTCTCTCCCCAATCCTTCTCCAACCCTAGGCAACCATTAATTTTCTTTTTATCTCTGTAGATTTGCCTATCCTGGACATTTCATATAAGTGAAATCATACAGTATTACTGTCTTTTGTGACTTCTTTCACTTGATATTATCAAAGTTCATTAGTGTTGTTGCGTATATTATTACTTCATTCCTTTGTATGGCCAAATAATATATTTATTATATGGGGCATATACATTTTGTTTATCCATCCATTACTTGATGTACATTTGGGTTGTTTTCTACTTTTTGGTGATTATGAATTATACTACTGTAAATGTTTGTATAAGTTTTTGTTTCTCTTGGGTATATATCTGAGAATAGAATTATTGGGACATATGGTAACTATTTTTAATCATTTGAGGAACTGCCAGACTGTTTTCCAGAGTGGCTGCACCATCCTACATATTTTCCACTAGCAGTGTTTGAGGGTTCCAACTTCACTTGTTTGCCAACACTCATTATTATATGACTTTTCGATTATAGGCATCTTGTGGGTATGAAATGGTTTATCGTTATAGTTTTGGGTTTATTTATTTCATCATGATAAGTATATTCTTTAATACCCATCACCTATTTCACCTATCCCCCCACCAACCTCTCTGCTGGTAACCATCAGTTTGTTCCTCTAGTTGAGAGTCTGTTTCTTGGTTTGTCTGTCTCTCTTTTTTTCTTTGCTCATTTGTTTTGTTTCTTAAATTCCACATGTGTGAGATCGTATGGTATTTGTGTTTCTCTGACTGGCTTATTTTGCTTCACATTATACTGTCTGGCTCTATCCATGTTGTTGCAAATGGCAAGATTTCATTCTTTTTTATGGCTGATAATATTCCATTCTATATACCACATCTTCTTTATCCATTTTTCTATCCATGGACACTTGGGCTGCTTTCATAGTTTGGCTATTGTAAATAATGTTTCAATAAACATAGAAGTGCATGTATCCCTTTGAATTAGTGTTTTTGTGTTTTGGGGGGTAAATACCCAGTACTGTGATTACTGGGTCAAAGGGTAGTACTATTTTTAACTTTCTGAGAAACTTCCGTACTGTTTTCCACATTGGCTGCACCAGTTTGCATTCCCATCAACAGTGTACAACTGTTTCTTTTTCTCCATATCCTCCTCAACATTTAACTGTTTCTTATGTGTTTGATTTTAGCCATTCTGACAGGTATGAGGTGATACCTCATTGTAGTTTTGATTTGCATTTCCCTGATAATGATGAGTGATGTTGAGCATCCTTTCATGTGTCTGTTGGCCATCTGGATGTCTAGTTTGGAGAAATGTCTGTTCATGTTTTCTGCCATTTTTAAATTGGATTATTTGGATTTGGGGTGTTGAGTTGTATCAGTTCTTTATATATTTTGGATACTAACCCTTTATTGGATATGTCATTTGTAAATATCTTCTCTCAGGGGTGCCTGGATGGCACAGTTGGTTAAATGTCTGACTTTTGGTTTCAACTCAGGTCGTGATCTCAGGGTGGTGAGATCAAGCCCCACGTCTGGCTCCAAGCTCAGCGCAGAGTTTGCTTGAGATTCTCCCTCTCCCTCTGCCCCTCCCATTTATGCTCTCTCTGTCTCTCTCTCAAACAAACAAACAAACAAATAAATAAAAATATCTTCTCCCATTCCATAGGATGCCTTTTAGTTTTGTTGATTGTTTCCTTTGCTGTGCAGAAACATTTTATTTTGATGTAGTCCCAATAGTTTATTTTTGCTTTTGTTTCCCTTGCCTCAGAGGACCTATCTAGAAAAATGTTGCTATGGCTGATTTCAGAGAGACTACTGAAAACTTGTAGTTTTCTGAGCATAAGTTTTATACTTTTTTGTTAAATTTGTTTCTAAGTATTTTATTCTTTTTGATGACATTTTAAATAAATTGTTTTCTTAATTTCAGTTTTGTTAATTATAAGTGTTGAGAATAACAATTGATTTTTGTATATTGACCTTGTATCCTGCAACCTTGCTAAAATCATTTGTTAGTTCTAGGAGTTTTTTAGTGGATTCTTTAGGGTTGTTTTTGTTTTTTTTTTCTATATACAAGATCATGTCATCTGTGAATAGAGATAGTTTCATTTTATCCTTTCTAACTTGGATTCCTTTTACTTTGTTTGCCTAACTGCATTGGCTAGAACCTCTAGGACAATGTTGAGTAAAAATGGTGAGAACAAATATCTTTGTCTTATTCCTGATTTTAGTGGGAAAACGTCCAGTTTCTTACCATTAACTATGGTATTAACTGTGAGTTTTTTGTAGACACCCTTTATCAAATTGAGGAAGTTTCCTTTTGTTCCTAGTCTGCAGAGTGTTTTTATCATGGGAAAGTGTTGCTTTTATCAGAAGTTTTTTCTGCATCTATTGAAATGATCATGTGGCTTTTGTTTTATTGTATTGATGTGATTTATTACATTAATTGACTTTTGGATATTAAATCACTCTTGCATTCCTGGGATAAATTGCACTTGGCCATGGTGTATAATTATTTATATATATTGCTGGGTTCAGTTTGCTAATATTTTGTTGAGGATTTTATGTTCATATTTATAAGCATATTGATTTTACTTTTCTTGTGGTTTCTTTGTCTGGCTTCATATAATGAATTCAGAAATGCTCCTCTTCAATTTTTAGAAAAGTTTGTAAAGATTTATAATTAATATATTTAAATAATATATTTAAATGTTTGATATAATTCACCATTAAAGCCATCTGAGCGTGGACTTTTGGTTTGTGGTTAGTTTTTTTGTTTTTTTTAAATTTTTATTTATTTTTAATTTTTTAATTTTTAATTTTTAATTTTATTTGTGGTTGGTTTTTTTGATTCTTGATTCAACCTCTTTACCTGCTATATGTGTATTTGCATTGTCCATTTCTTCCGGAGTCCATTTTGGTAGTTTGTATTTTGGATAATTATTCTGTTTCATTTAAGTTATCTAATTTACTGTTTTTCATACTATTTCATAGTATTCCTTTTAATCATTTTTATTTCTGTAAGATTGATAGTAATGTCACCTTTTTAATTTCTGATTCTAGTAACTTCCTTTTTGTCAATTTAAACTTTTGTTGATTTTGTTTATCTTTTCAATGAACAAATTTTTGGTTTTATTGACTTTATTGTTTTTCTATTTAATAATAATGTCTTCATACTAATAGAGATCTATATATTTTTTAAATTAATTTTTCACAATAGAACTTAATATTTATCATGTATTTTACAATGTTATCTGAGCATTTTATTTCTTTAATCAGATTCTCAGATGCTTAACACTGGAAATGATTTGAAAAAAAAAGTCAAAAGTGATTCAGTGCTGCTTACCAGTGAGAAGTATGATCTGAAGAAACAACATAGTGTCACTCAAGCCACTCAGACGAGTCCAGAGGTTCCTTGGCCTTCTCAGTCAGTTAACTTTCCTGAGTGCTCCTTTGATTTTACTAGGGAACAGGTAATGGGAAAACTAATTTCTCATTCAGTTCTGGCAATTAAAAGAAATATACTAAAAATTCAAACATTATTTACTTATTAAATAATGTTTCTTGAGTGCTTGTTTATGAATGTTTGCCCAGGCACTGTGTTAGATGCTATGGGAATAGTGTTGAGCAAGAATGGAACATTCCCAATCTTCACAGAGGTTGAATAGTCTAATGGAAAGATAGAGGAGTAAATGTGGGCAAGTACTAGTTCCTGGAATCTAGAAAAGATTCCTTGAGGATATATTCATTTTGTTGTCTTATTGTTAAGTTTGCAAAAGTCCTATAAAAATATTTTTAAACAACTTTAATGCATTCTAACTTTCTGCAGTGCTGTCAATATATTTAAAAAATTTTTTCCTTTCAGGCTCTTTTCCATAATTTTTCAAAACAATTATTATTTTAGTATATATACTATATATTTTTTTACTTAACATGGTTTAACAGATATTTTTCCATATTGCTACATATGCTTCATATTTATTGTTAATGGCAGAGTAACATGATGTGAATATACTGTCATTTCTAATCTTTCCTCTTAATATTTGTTTACATGTTAACGTTTGAGTTGTTCTTTTTGTTATTATAATATCCAGTAGAATTTTAATTCTCTGTGGTAGAACCAAAGTCATTGATCTGTGACTAGAATGTAAAATTGAACAATATATCATCTCTTTTAAGAAACTAAAAAGTTGGGGGTGTGTAATTGAGGTTATAACATACTGTGTCAAGTGGTGTGCTAGAGATTGGAGAAATACAGGGAAATACCCAACTTGGTCTATAAGGCAAGAATTTGTAAGCTGGGACTAAAAGAAGTCTGAGAACTCTTTGAAATTAAATGTATATATATATTAATATATCTGTATAAATGTATTTTGGGGGGGAGAAAGTTCTTAGTTTTATCATTAAGTCTTCATAGGTAGGGGTTAGAGAATAGTTCCAAGAGGATAATGTACTTGAGCTGAGTCTTAATGTGGGGAGGGAGACCTATTGGCCATCTAGATGAAAAGATTTAATAAGATATTCAGAATATGGGTCTGTAGCTCAAGACGGAAGTTCGTGCTGGATTGAGTTATGTGATAGAGCCATAGGAGTAGATGAGATCATCTAAGAGTGACTCAAGTGATAAGATGACCAATTATGGAATCTAACAGCATAGTAAAATCTAATGGTTCTTAAACAGCAGAGGAAAAGAAGAAAAGTCTGTAGGTGGAAAGAGATAAACATGAAAGAGCTGAGGCATAAGAGGCGAAAGAGAGAGGCTTAGGAAGGAGGAGCAAGGTCAGCAATGTGTAAAACCACAGAGAGGTCTGGAGAAACTGAAATTAAACAAAATCACTATTAGATTTGGAAATTAGGAGTGAATTCTTGTTTTAAATTGCTGGGCCAAAACTTACGAACATTTTAAAGTGCTTCTCAAAGCAATTTCAGCTTAAGTGCACTCTCACCAGTATTGGGTATTTTTACTCTCCCAAGTTTCACACCTTTAGGTACTATATGAACAGTATGTATTTTCTGAAAATGATTAAATTCTCTTATTTTCCAAATTTATCATTTCAGCTCATGGAAGAGAATGAATCTCTTAAACAGGAATTGGCCAAAGCTAAAATGGCTCTTGCAGAGGCTCACTTGGAAAAAGATGCTCTTCTTCATCATATAAAGAAGATGACAGTTGCATAGCAGGAGTGGCAGTCAAAAATTCAAATTATAGCTCTGGAGTAGGGAGGTTATATTTATAATGTTATGTTACCAGTTAGTGGAAGACTTTCCTTTTCATGAAAAGACAATAAAATGAAATAGAATGTGATGAAGTGGTGACTGTTCCAAAGCCAGTTTAGTTTCTAAGTATTAGGTATGGCATTACAATCTTCTGGTTGTTTTGTGTTTTGGGGTTTAACCAAACTCTTAAACTGGTGTGATAGAGGGAAGTCAACACATACTGTAAAATAATCACATGTCTAATGGAAAGAAGATGTCATTTCCTAATTTTGATATCACATTATAGGCACTTTTTAAAAAGAAAAATGGAAATCTGTTGTGTTCTCACAGATTGCTGATTTTATTTATCACTATTTGTTAATAATTACTATTATTTACAAAGATTCAAATGCTTTTAGGGCTAATGTAATTTAAAATGAGGCTTACATTTTAAATGTTATTAGAATTATGTACTCAAATCTATAATTATTTAATTACTGTGGGAAAGTCCAATCAAGTTAATAAATTATATTGACTGGGTTCAAAAATTCAAAAATCATCACCCTCCTGATCTTATAAAGTAACTTGAGAATGTGAAAAAGAAATAATTAAAATGATGAATAAATTGTGTAAGTTAAAGGTATAATTTTCAGCTAAAAGGATCATACAAATGTAAAAATAAAAAGCACAAACTGTAGAAAAGCAAAACATTACAGTATATGGCCAACTGATTTAAAAAGCATTACTTGTACATTCCTTTAAACAGTTATTGTTAGAAGTAAAAGAATAATTTAACTATCCTAAATTTGGCAGCATTTGTAAGTATAAGAATTTTAATTAATACTATTTATATTATTTCTTTACCTTTATCTTTTCTCTGAGGGGAATGTTTTCAGAGAATTTTCTTTTCATATACGTAAAATAATTTCATACCATTCTTGTAGTATCATTAGGTAGATGTTTGCACATATTGTATTTATAAAGCTAGTTTTGGTTAAAGGTGTATGTGACATAAATACTATCTTCTATAATAAGAATAATTAGTAAATTTTGAATTCTATTTTCTAGGGATAGTTAAGGTTGAAACCAACATGAGAGAGAAAATCATGCATTATGAAATAAGTTTATGAGTGTTTAAGAAACAGACATTTTTAAAGATTTAAACTATATTTCTGATAGAGTTAAACTAAGTGGGGTCTATTTTAAAATTAACATTCTTAAAACATAAATATATCTAAGCTGTAACATGAAACAGCTCAGACTATTCTTTCTTTAAGATACTTGAAAATTTTAAACAACATTATGTCACTTTATGGTGCTTTGCTTGTTTGGCATGACTTATATAGCCATCCCTATATCTGAATACTTGGATGAAAAAACATGTTTCATTTACATTAAGTGTTGGAGTGATTTAGATTTCACTGAAAACAATACTGGCTTTTTTTTTTTCCTTCTGTAACATCCATTTTCAATGACATTATTTAAAAATACAGACCCGGGGCGCCTGGGTGGCTCAGTTGGTTAAGTGACTGCCTTCGGCTCAGGTCATGATCCTGGAGTCCCGGGATCGAGTCCCGCATCGGGCTCCCTGCTCGGCAGGGAGTCTGCTTCTCCCTCTGACCCTCCTCCCTCTCATGCTCTCTGTCTCTCATTCTCTCTCTCTCAAATAAATAAATAAAATCTTTAAAAATACAGACCCTGTTTTGGGAGCTAAGGATATAGCAAAGAAAAATTAAATTGTTAATTTTTTTACCTCAGAATATTTTAAAAATCACATTAAACCATATTAATCTAAAACTATATCGTAGTCTTAGATTAAAAGCAAACGTCTAGTTAAAGATTTAAAACATACAGCTTATATCCATAGTGTAGAGTACTTTTGATTTGTAGGTATGTATTCAACAAAACAGCCTCTTATAGAAAAGCAGGATTGATGGGACATTAATGTCTTCACAGCTGACAGTTTCTCAGGATTGACCTATTTGCTCCATAGAAGTTTTAAATTTATGGTGTAATCATTTAGTGTTACAGAAGCTGAATGTTTTCCTTATTCCTTTTCAGTTTACTTGGCCTTCTCAAGGAAAGTATATAAATAATGGAGATGATAATTAACATGGGTCTGGGTGTTCTTGTATGCTTTGTTGGATTTTTTTAAATTTATAGTGAGTACTATTTTTATATAGATTTAAAATTCATAAAGCACTTTGAAAAACATTATCTCATGTAATTCTCACAACAAATCTGGGAGGTAGGTATTACTCACATTTTAGAAGTTAAAAAAAACAAAACAACAAACCCAAAGGCTTAAAAAGAACAAGGGATTTGACTGACATCACAATTAATAACTTGACCTTTTGATTTAGATCCCAGTTATATGCTTTTATTTTACCTTTGTCATTAATTCACAGATTTTGCCAGAGGTAGGGAGAGGAATCCCTTATTTTCTTTTGTCTGTTTTTCTTTTAAAGATAAATATATTTTTAATGGTGTGTGTGTGATGAGTGTATATTTTTCAAACTACTTAAAAGATAGTGGGAAAATTTTTGTTTATGTTAATCCCAACCTTTTTCAGGGTGAGAAATATAGGAATAACCCTATGATAAACTTACTAGTTATTTAATGACCATAAATTAGGAAAAAAGTTGCCATAGTTTGATTTTTTTTTTTTTCTTCTAAATCTGTAGCAGAGATGTTAGTGATCAGGGAAGGAAATGGTAATCATGTTTTGCCTTTTAATTTTATGTACGTCAAAAACATTTTCTTGGTATCTTGTATTTTTTTCTTTTCTCATTTTGTCCTGGAATTTCAAAAGACCACCATGTGACATTAGTTGTGATAAAGTGTTATTTTAATTTAAGCCATGTAGGAATGGCTATGTATTATTGCACAAAAATATATGTGGAAAAATTAACCAGAAACTCCTTTCTGGATTTTTATTGTAGTTATTTGATATTTGTCACTACAGGAGTTCCACTTTAACAAGTGTTTTTTAAACCTCCACTCTAATCAAGGCATTTCCTATTTCAGTGAATGGTACCACTATCACCCTGGTTCCCAAACTAGTAACCTAGAACTATTCTTAGACACTTTGCTAACTCTTCCCACCCCCTGTCAGTTCTTTACCAGGTTCTGTCACCTCTCAAATGTGTCTGCGTCTCTCTACTCACCACCTCCCTAGCTATAATCACACCTTTTGCCTGCTTTACTGCAGTTGCCTCCTACCTGGTCTTCCTACAGCTACTCTGGCCCTCCTCTGATCTACTCTACTGCAGGCAGAATTCTCTTTGGAAGTGCAGTTTTAATCAAGGCAACCCTCCACCCCTATTCTCACCCCTAGCTTAAGACATTTTAATGGCTTTTTCTTGCTCTTAAGATGAAAACAAAAATATTTATGTGACCTATATATTAGAGCCACTATTTACTTTTTAGTATAATTCAGGGCATTAAAAGAGTTAATGTCTCAAAACATTAAAACAATGGCTGACACATAATTTTAAAAATACTCAATAGGGGCGCCTGGGTGGCTCAGTCGGTTAAGTGTCTGCCTTTCCTCAGGTCATGATCCCAGGGTCTTGGGATTGAGCCCTTCATTAGGCTCCCTGCTGAGTGGGGAGCCTGCTTCTTTCTCTCTCTCTCTCTGCCATTCCTCCCATTTGTGCTCTCTGGCTGTCTCTCTCTGTCAAATAAATAAATAAAATCTTTAAAAAAAAAAAAAAAACTCAGTAGAGGTTAGTTGTTATTACTACTGCTTAACCTCATTGCACTTGAAGTATATGGAATAAGTGAGAATTAAACTGCTTCTTCTACCATAGGAACCTTGTTCATGTTCCTTTGGCTTGAAATCCCTTCCCCTGTTCATTGCTGAGTTGAATTCTTATTTGTATTTCAGATCTTAGCTTATTTATCACTTCCTCAGGGAAGCATTCCTTAATTTCAGTCACAGAGTAAGACCCACTCTTGTATATTATCACATGAACACATACCTCTACTTAGCATTGAACATCTTTGTAATTTTATACATATTTGATTAATGTAGACTCTAGACTGTAAACTCCATGAGGACAGGAATTGTGTTTTTGTTGTCTGTGTTCAACTTTGTATTCCTTACGCCTCATATCGTGGTTGGTACATAGTAGGTGCTCAATAAATCCGTTGAAAGAATAAAATGAGTGGATAAGGTATCAAGGATATTTTCTAGGTATTACGTTTTTCCTCTCAGTTGGATTAAAAGGAGATGGAACATAGGAAGAAAGTAGGTGGTGGTAGTTATTTAAAGGGTCAGACTCTTTGAGTCCATAGTGAAAGAAAAAGGTGGGGAATGGAGAAATTTGCCATACTGTTCTCTTCAGAATTTTTAATATCTGAACTTATAGTTGATTTATCTCAAACCATCACAAAATAGAAAATTAGCACATCACTTCAAAAAATTGCTACAGTGCCAAAATGTCATCTGGCTTTGATTGTAACATATGGTGTTGTGGCTGTCAAGATCTGACAGTCCTATCAGCTAAACAAAATGGAAATAAGGCCAAGAGAGTAGTGGCTGAAATAGTTTTCAATTTTGACAAATTGACTAATACCCAAGATCAGTTATGCCTAATTCCTTAAAGTACAAATAATCTCACTTCAACTTGTGCGTAAGGATGCTAAGAAAAGTCAATTTTTTAAAAAAGATTTTATTTATTTATTTGCCAGAGAGAGAGAGAGAGGGCCTAAGGGAGCAAAGCAGGGAGAACGGCAAGTAGAGGGAGAAGCAGGCTCCCCACTGAGCAAGGAGCCCAATGGGAAACTCGATCCCAGGACCCTGGGATCATGACCTGAGCCGCAAGCAGACACTTAACCAACTGAGCCACCCAGGTGTCCCAGGAAAGTAAATTTTGAGCTATACTTAAGTTTACTTTTAGAAAATGTAAAATACTGGAAGTTGGAATTACACAGGATATAGAAACACTAAAGCAATAATTAATGTTTTTAAAACACTCATTTCTTCATTAAATTATAGTAATTGATAATTTTTTTCTGCCTTTTTAGAGAAATACAAAAGGTAGCAGGAAGCAAAAATGTAAGTGTGATAGTTTTTATCAACCATTAGATATTATCTAATGAATCATTGTATAGTGGGGGGAAATTCATGTTACTGTTACAGTATTGAAATTTAGCATATGTATTGCTAACACTATTGTATAGTTGTGTCAGGTTTGAGAATTTGAAACTTAGAAAAAAGAAATATGAAATCAACTTAATATCTTTTTTTCTATTTGTATAATAAAACATGTGCAATAATTCTTTGGTCTTAGAAGAAAACATATCACTAAATCACGAAGAATTAACTGGGTTTTAAAATATTAGAAACCATTTAGACAAAAAGGCAATACTATAATACTTATAAATTAGATTTTATTTTCAATTTGCTTGTGTCATCAAAAGTCAATTCATTCTTTACAAGTTATACTGAACTGAATGTTAAGTAAAATTTCTCATTCTTAATTCTTTACTGTGTATATGAAAAAATATGCTCATTTAGTGAAGAAATACTTGAGCGTTAGGGAGGTTAGGAGAGTACAATGAGGTGATTTAGTCTTTATCTTGCAGCCATCCGGCAGAATTGTTTTGGCTGATAAGACAGAAAACTCAGATACTGAATCACAAATGTCATCCAGAATAAATGAGAATGAAAAATAGGTATATGAAAACTTAAATAAGTAGAGACTACAAGTATCTCTGCAGGATATGAGTGAAAATATAGGGGTATGATCAAAGCCCATCATTCACAACATTTAAAATCACTCCAATAAAGTAGATAGATAGTATAATCAGAGCAGGAAATTTTGAAAGTAACCATAGTAAACAAATACAGTGTAAGGAAATTGGAGAGTAGTCCAATAATAAAGCACTTGAAAAAGATTTATGGTAAAGAATTCACTTGAATTATAACCTAAAGCAAAAAATTGATATGGAAATTCTTAATGTGCAAAAATTGGCACATGCAGAAATTCAATTCTTCAATAAACGTTATGCCCACAACTATTAAGATTCTAATTTCAACATGAAAAGTGAGGTGAGGACATTCACTACTATTGGAGACATTTTATTGGTATAGCAATAATACAGCATCTTAGCATTCTGTCCAAATTCAATATATTTACTTAATAATACTTACTAGCATTATTAGCACAGGTATGATAATCATTTGCTGCTTTCTTCACTCTGGTTATTTTTACTTCATCCCTTGCAGTTGAACAAGAGATTTTCCATATAAAACATTAGAGTTACGAAGGCAAAAGGGTCTAAAGAGGGATATGGAATAGGCATGTTAAGCAACTTTTTAATATCCCATTTCTATAAATTTCCCAAATTTAAGGCATTCCCATATTATAGTATCAATATAAAAACATGGCAAGGCCAAGTATATTAAAAGTAGTAGCATTTTGCTGCATTAGTACAGATATTTGAGAATTACTGTAAACATATATGTAAGCCTTTTCCATAATTTTAGTGGCCCACAGTTAATACTTAGCAATTTTTACATGTATCTTTAATAAGTCCCCTCCCCCTTTTTGGCCTTCAGAATTCAGTTTCTTGTAAAAGTATGTTTTGCTGAGTAGGCTTTAGCTTTGATTTTGTATCTGTCCACTTTTTGTGTAGCTTCATTAATGCCCAGAGGCCATTATAGTATGACCAATTTTAGAAACTGAAGCACAAATAATATAAGAATATACACTGGTGATTTTACATTCATTTTTCCTTCCTGCATGTACAATCAATATTGCAATATTAAGTCAAAGAATAAAACTGTGGAAGAGTTAGGAAACTTAGAAGTCCTCTAATTTGGCTTCCCACCCAAAATCAGTCCAGAGTTTCCAATGGGGAGTCACCAAATTACAGCTGAAATTCCTAATGAGAAAACCTACCCCATAAACCTTTCTGTTTTAAGTAGTTCTAATTGGCCATTTTTTTCCTATTTGTGGAATTAGAATAGCTCCCTTTTACTACATCAAGGTCCTACAGTTTTCATTCACATTACGAAAGCTGTTACATCTCTTGCCAAGTCTCTTTTCTAGGCTCAGCATCCCTAATCCTTTATTCTTTGAAAGACAATTTCCAAAGACCACCATTATTTGTCATTTGGATGTACCTCAATTTGCCAAAGTCCCTCTTAAAATTTTGTCATTTAAATGTTTGGATGCTTCTGTCTACACTTAAAAGAAAACCCACCTAAAAGTAGTGATACCCTTAAAGTTTTAAATAGAAGTAGTTTAATATTACAAAACAATACATCTGGAGATAGGGTGGTTCTGGATGCTCATTGATGTTACGAAGGATTATATTCTTTCATTTCTGTCATCCTCACTGCAGGGGATTTTAGCCTCATACTTAACCTTCTCATGGTTGCAAGGTGTCAGCAGCCATCCAAGAAAACTACACAGCCACATCCACGGGGTGGGGGAGGGGGAAGAGAGGGTGTTTTTCCTCTTTCCCTTTTAAATAAAATGTCCCAGAAATTTCTCAGCAGATGCGCCCTTTTATATCGAAATACATCGCATTCCTGCCTAAACCACCGTTGGTTAAACTTGATCACTTCCAGCGCTGCTGTGCAGATGCTTCTCTCAGTATGTAGCCACGCAGAGCTGTGAGAACCTGGTTAAAAGGGGCTCTGCCTACCAGACAGGAGGGGAAGCAGATAGATTTGAGTAGAATCAACAGTGCTAGTCACCAAAAGCAAATACTTAACACCATGGTCTGACTGATGAATATAATGGGATTTATTTATTTATTTATTATTTTAAGATTTTATTTATTTACTTAGAGAGCATGAGAGGGGAGAGGGTCAGAGGGAGAAGCAGACTCCCTGTTGGGCAGGGAGCCTGATGTGGGACTTGATCCCGGGACTCCAGGATCATGACCTGAGCCGAAGGCAGTCGCTTAACCAATTGAACCACCCAGGCGCCCTACAATGGGATTTATTAACATGAAACATGCTTAAAAACTAGTACATGACAGGCAGAGGGTCTGGTTAGGATACCAGCTACCTATTCCTGCCCACATGGATTCAATCTGGTGGGGGAGATTCACAAGTAAATTTCAGTTTCAATATGATATGTTAAGTGACATGATAAGTGCATGTAACCCAGTATTGGGAAATCACAATGCTCCCCAGAGGAAATGTCCTCTAAGCCAAAGTCTGAAAGAAGTATCTGTTGGCCAAGGAGAAGTTTTTAGCAGTGAACAGGTTGGAGATGAGTATATATATTGGAGCTTGGTTGCTTTCAGGAGAACCACACTACTAGTCCAGATGGTTCTTTTTAGGGTAGTCCAAGAGTATATTTACTTGGTTTTTAAAACGCTTCCTCCTTCCATATGTAATTTGTGCTGATTTGTAACCATCAGGACTTCTCCATTCATGTGCATTACTACTGATTCAGGTCTCCTTATCCTATATATTTGTAATTTATTTCTTAAACCTGAACATAAGTCTTTCCATTTGCCTCGTTCACGTAAGACCAATTAGTCTAGGAGTGAACAAAATTTTTTTCTGTAAAGAGCTAGATAGTATTTTTTTGCTTGAAATTCAATTAGCCAACATATAGTAGTAGTACATCATTAGTTTCAGATGTAGAGTTCAATAATTCGTCAGTTGCATATAACAACAGTGCTCATCATGTCACGTGCCCTCTTTAATGCCCATCACTCAATTACCCCATCCCCCCCACCTCCCCTCCAGCAACCCTCAATGTATTTCCTATAGTTAAGAGTCTCTCACGGGGGCACCTGGGTGGCTCAGTCGTTAAGCGTCTGCCTTCGGCTCAGGTCGTGGTACCGGGGTCCTGGGATCGAGCCCCGCATTGGGCTCCCTGCTCCGCGGGAAGCCTGCTTCTCCCTCTCCCACTCCCCTGCTTGTGTTCCCTCTCTCGCTGTGTCTCTCTCTGTCAAATAAATAAGTAAAATCTTAAAGTCTCTCATGGTTTGTCTCCCTCTCTGATTACTTCCCATTCAGTTTTCCCTCCCTTCCCTTATGATCCTCTGCACTGTTTCTTATATTCCACATATGAGTGAAATCATATGGTATTTGTCTTTCTCTGATTGACTTATTTAGCTCAGCATAATACCCTCCAGTTCCATCCCCATGGATGTAAATGGTAAGTATTCATCCTTTCTGGTGGCTGAGTAATATTCCATTGTATATAGATACAGATATATATACCACCTCTTTACCCATTCATCTGTTGGTGGACATCTGAGCTCTTTCCACATTCTGGCTATTGTGGACATTGCTGCTATAAACATCGGGGTGCAGGTGCCCCTTCGGATCACTACATTTGTATCTTTGGGGTAAATACCTAGTAGTGCAATTGCTAGCTCATAGAGTTGCTCTATTTTCAACTTTTTAAAAAACCTCCATACTGTTTTCCAGAGTGGCTGCACCAGCTTGCATTCCCACCAACAGTGTAAGAGGGTACGCCTTTCTCCTAATCCTCACCATTTATTGTTTCCTGTCTTGTTAATTTTAACCATTCTGACTGGTGTCAGGTGTATCTCATTGTGGTTTTGATTTGTATTTCCCTGATGCCAAGTGATGTGGAACATTTTTTCATGTGTCTGTTGGCCATTTGGATGTCTTCCTTGGAGAAATGTCTATTCATGTCTTCTGCCCACTTCTTGACTGGATTACTTGTTCTCTGGGTGTTGAGTTTGATAAATTCTTTATAGATCTTTATCTGATATGTCATTTGCAAATATCTTCTCCCTTTCCATCGGTTGCCTTTTGGTTTTGTTGACTGTTTTCTTTGCTGTGTAAAAGTTTTTTATCTTGAAGTCCCAATAGTTCATTTTTGCTTTTGTTTTCCTTGCCTTTGGAGATGTGTCTAGCAAGAAGCTGTTGTGGCCAAGGTTGAAGAGGTTGCTGCCTGTGTTCTCTATGATTTTGATGGATTCCTGTCTCTCATTTAGGTTTTCAGCCATTTTGAGTTTATCTTTGTCTGTGGTGTAAGAAAATGGCCTAGTTTCATTCTTTTGCATATGGCTGTCCTATTTTCCCAGCAGCATTTATTGAAGACACTGTCCTTTTTCCATTGAATCTTCTTTCCTGCTTTATCGAAGAGCAGTTGACCATAGAGTTGAGGATCCATTTCTGGGTTCTCTAGTCTGTTCCATTGATTGTATGTGTCTGTTTTTGTGCCACTGATGATTACAGCTTTGTAATATAGCTTGACGTCTGGCACTGTGATGCCCCCAGCTTTGGATTTCCTTTTCAACATTCCTTTGGCTATTCGGGGTCTTTTCTGGCTCCATACAAATTTTAGGATTGTTTGTTCCAGCTCTATGAAAAAAGTTGGTATTTTGATAGGGATTGCATTGAATGTGTAGATTGCTCTGGGTAGCATAGACATTTTAACAATATTCTTCCAATTCATGAGCATGGAGTGTTATTCCATTACTTTTGTCTTCCTCAATTTCTTTCATTAGTGTTCTGTAGTTTTTAGATTATGGATCCTTTACCTCTTTGGTTAAGTTTATTCCTAGGTATCTTATGGTTTGGGGTGCAACTGTAAATGGGATCAGTTCCTTAATTTCTCTTCTGTCTCATTGTTAGTGTATAGAAATGCAACTGATTTCTGTGCATTGATTTTATATCCTTCCATGTTGCTGAATTCCTGTAAGAGTTCTAGCAATTTTGGGGTGGAGTCTTTTGGGTTTTCCACATGGAGTATCATGTCATCTGTGAAGAGTGAGAGTTCTTTGCCAATTTGAATGCCTTTTATTTCTTTTTGTTGTCTGATTGCTTACACTAGGACTTCTAGAACTATGTTGAACAACAGTGGTGTGAACACATCCCTGCTGTGTTCCTGACCTTAGGGGAAGAGCTCTCAGCTTTTCCCCCATTGAGAATGATATTTGCTGTGGGCTTTTCGTAGATGGCTTTTAAGATATTGAGGTATGTTCCTTCTATCCCTACACTTTGCAGAGTTTTAATCAAGAAAGGATGCTGTATTTTGTCAAATGCTTTTTCTGCATTGAGAGGATTTTATGGTTCTTGTTCTTTCTTTTATTTTTTTTTAAGATTTTATTTGTTTATTTGACAGAGAGAGAGCACAAGTAGGCAGAGAGGCAGGCAGAGGGAGAGGGAGAAGCAGGCTCTCTGCTGAGCAGGGAACCTGATGTGGGGCTCGATCCCAGGACCCTGGGATCATGACCTGAGCCGAAGGCAGATGCTTAACCACCTGAGCCACCCAGACGCCCCTTGTTCTTTCTTTTATTAATGTGATGTATCACATTGATTGATTTGCAGATGTTGAAGCACCCTTGCAGCCCAGGGATAAATCCCACTTGGTCATGGTGAAGAATCCTTTTAATGTACTGTTGGATTCTATTGGCTAGTATCTTGGTGAGAATTTTGGCATCCATGTTCATCAGGGATATTGGTCTGTAATTCTTTTTGGTGGGGTCTTTGTCTGGTTTTGGGATCAAGGTGATGCTGGCCTCATAGAAAGAGCTGGGAAATTTTCCTTCCGTTTCTATTTTTTGAAAGAGCTTCAGAAAAATAAGTATTACTTCTTCTTTGAAGGTTTGGTAGAATTCCCCTGGGAAGCCATCTGGCCCTGAATTCTTGTTTGTTGGAAGATTTTTGATTATTGCTTCAATTTCCTTGCTGGTTATGGGTCTGTTCAGGTTTTCTATTTCTTCCTGTTGCAGGTTTGGTAGTTTATATGTCTCTATGAATGCATCCATTTCTTCCATATTGCCTAATTTATTGGCATATAGTTGCTCATAATATGTTCTTGAAATTGTTTTTATTTCCTTGGTGTTGGTCATGCTCTCTCCTCTTTCATTCATGATTTTATTAATTTGGGTCCTTTCTCTTTTCTTTTTGATATGGCTGGCCAGAGGTTTATCAATCTTATTAATTCTTTCAAAGAACCAGCTTCTGGTTTCGTTGATCCCTTCTACTATTCATTTGGTTTCTAGTTCATTGACTTCTGCTCTGATCTTTATTATTTCTCTTCTCCTGCTTGGTTTAAACTTTATAAGCTGTTCTTTCTCCAGCTCCTTTAGGTGTAAAGTTATCTTGTGTATTTGAGACTTTTCTAGTTTCTTGAGAAAGGCTTGCATTGCTATCTACTTCCCAAGAGCTACATAGTATTTTGTGGACTGTGTAGTCTCTGTTGCAGCTACTCAACTCTGCCCCTATAGAGTGAAAGCCCCACAGACAATATGTAAAGGAGTGGGCATGGCTATGTTCCAGTAAAGATTTATAGAGGAGGTACTTGGCCATCGTCTGTCAACCCTGATCTAAACCTAGACTACCTGTGTTATTCCAGTCCCAGGATAACTTACACACAGCACAGGAAAGTGAGATTCTATATATCTTCCTAGTCAGTCTTCCATAGAGATGCTGACCTGAGAAAGAATGTGGATCTGTAATTAAATTGTATTAACCATGCGACTTGATCAGAGTCCGTGGACAAAGCTACATGCCCAGATACTTAAGCTCACAAGTTCATTCAACATTTATATATTACACCTCCTTCCTTAGTTATCTCTCTTACTTCCACCCACATTCTCAAGCAGTGCCTTCTTGGATGGCCATACAGTTTTATCCTTTCATTATCATTATATTAGAGTGGTTTGGTGCCTTTGACAAACTGTTTTGTCCCTTTCCAACCCTTCCTTGGTGATAACTCTAATACTATTAAGTTTTCTTCCAGAGTATGCATGTTGTCTCTATGGTCAAAAACATGTGAAAACAGAGGGCACTGATGGCATTTGTTGTCTGACCTCCTATGTTCCACCCTCTGTATTAGTTTTCTGTTGCTGCCATAACAAACTACCACAGAGTTATTATTTCACAGTGCAGCAGGTCAGAAGTCTGGGTATGGTGGGGCTCAGCTGGGTCCACTTCTTAGGGTCACACAAGGCTGAAATGAAGGAGTCAGCAGAGCTGCATTCCCTTCTGGAGTCTTTGGGGTGAATCTGCTTCCAAGCACATTCAGTTTGTTGACCAAAATCAGTTCCTTGCACTTTTAGGACTGCAGTCTCATTTCCTTGCTACTGCCTTCTCTTTTTTTTTTTTTTTTAAAGATTTATTTATTTATTTGAGAGAGAGAGAATGAGAGAGAGTACATGAGAGGGGGGAGGGTCAGAGGGAGAAGCAGGCTCCTCGCTGAGCAGGGAGCCTGATGCGGGACTCGATCCCGGGACTCCAGGATCATGACCTGAGCTGAAGGCAGTTGCTTAACCAACTGAGCCACCCAGGCGCCCCTACTGCCTTTCTCATCTGAGAATTGTTCTCAGCTTCTAGAGGTCACCACGTTCTTTAGCTTGAGACACCCTTTCTCCATTTTCAGAGTCAGTAAGAGCAGGTTGGGCCCTTCTCACACTTTACATCTCTCTGACCTCTCCATTCCGTCTCATCTCTTCTCTCTCTACCTGGAGAAAGATCATCACTTATAAGGGCTCCTTTGAATAGCTTGGGCTCACTTAGATAATACAGGATAATCTCTCTGTTTAAAGGTCTGTAACCTTAATTATATCTGCAGAGTCCCTTTTGCCATGGAAAACACTGTAAAGTTCTGGGGAGGGAAGTGAATCTTTGCAGGTCATTATTTCGCTTATCACAACCTACCTCCTTCCCTCCCTCCCTCCCTCCCTTCCTTCCTTCCTTCCTTCCTTCCTTCCTTCCTTCCAAGTAAACTCTACTCCTAACATGAGGCTCAAACTCATGACCCAGAGATCAAGACTCCCATAGCTCTACCTACTGAGCCAGCCAGGCACCCCTCCACTGAGTTGTAAAATATCATCTGAGCATATTTTTAAAATGTTACTTCTCATTATTTTATTTTCCAGTTATACAAATTACTTCACATTTACATTTATGTAATCACAAAACACTTTTTGTCCTTAATAGATCATGAGCATTTCCCCCATATCACTCAGGTCTTTATAATTTTAATTATATAATACTTCATTGAATAGATATACTAAAATTTGCTTAACAATTGCTCTATGATTAATCACTTAGGTTTTCCCTAATATTTCACTATTGTAAATAACTCTATAATGAACATTTTTGTGCCCAAAGATTATCTACATGTTGAATTAATTTCTTAGGATAGGTTCTCAAAAGTAGAACTGCATTAAAGGCCATGAATTTCTTATGATAGAAACTACTTACCAAAAGGCTTAAACAGTTTGTATCCTCAGAAGCACTCTTAACTGTCATAAATGTCATCATTAAAAACGAAGCAAACAAAATTGAAATGAAAGGACATTACAAAGTAACTTACAATCATATGAAGAAATTAAAATCTCAGTAAAGGTAAATACATAGGCAATAATAAAAGCTAGTATTATTGTAACAATGGTGTGTAACTATACTTTTTGTTTTCTATAAGATTTAAGAGACTAATACATTTTTAAAAAAATAATTATTAGTCTAAAAGCTAGTATTATTGTAATTTTGGTTTGTAACTCCATTTTTTAAAAAGATTTTATTTATTTATTTGACAGAGAGACAGCGAGAGCAGGAACACAAGCAGAGGGAGTGGAGAGGGAAAAGTAGGCTTCCCCCTGAGCAGGGAGCCCGATGTGGGACTCGATCCCAGGACCCTGGGATCATGACCGGAGCTGAAGGCAGATGCTTAACGACTGAGCCACCCAGGCACCCCTCCATATTTTGTTTTCTATATAATTTAAGAGACTAATGCATTCAAAAATTACTAGTTTATATTTTTGGAGACAAAATGCATGAAGATGTAATTTTGTGTGACATCAGCAACTGAAAAGAGTAGGGACAGAACTGTTCAAAGAGCAGAAGCAGTGAGAAGTGGTTGGAACCTGAATATAATTTGATGGTGCAGCCATTGGGGATTTACCATTGGATTGGATGTGGTTAGTGAAATATGAGTCTAGGGTTGGTCTGTGGTTTCTGACCTGAGCAATTTACTGAAATGCTTAGTGGAGTGTTCGACCTCTCTGGACTTGAATCATTCATTTGTGATCACACACCCATATTCAGCAAAACAAAATTCCTGCAGATAACCCTCTTCCTTAGACAAAGTTAGGAATCATCTACTCTTCCTTGAGCACATCTCTTTGGCGGGGATGGGGGGTATTGTGGGGGAGGTTTGACGGATTTTATCTCCTTCCCTAAGTAGCTTGGGAGAATAGCAAGGAGGAAAGGAGTATAGATAAAAAGCAGAAGAGGTTTAAAAACTAAGCTCTTTGCCACTCTAGTGTTCAGAGGTTAGAGAGGTGAGGAAGAATCAGGACAGGAGACCCAGAAGCAGTGACAGTAGGAAAATCACAAGAGTGTGGGGCCCTGAAAACCAAGTGAAGAAATTGTTGAAGTGGGGAATGATTGTGTTAAATGCTCCTCAAAGGTCAAAAAGATGAGGAGTGAAAATTGACCATTAGATTTAACAATGTGGACATGGTTGCGTGGCTTTCAAAACAGCATCCACTAGAGTGGTGGAGGCAAGACTTACTTGCAATGGGGCACAGGTGAGGATAAAAGTGAGAAATTGGAGAGAATGAACATACGTAACTCTTTGAAGGAGTTTTACATTAAAACATAGGCTGCTCATATAATTTACAATCCAAACTGGACAACATTTGAAAAGAGCACCATTAATAATTAAGGCAAGTAACAATCGAGTATAAACTGGAACTGTCATGACAAATGATTAAATGTCCTTTCATGAAGGAAAGGAGAGAGAGAGGGCTATAACAAAGGGAAGGGGGATAGAAAAGTTTGGTTTGTTTTTTGTTTTGTTTTGTTTTTTAGGAAGGGAGAAATAGTAGCTAATAGGAATGATCTGATAGTGAAGGAAAGTTTTATGATGGCAAAAAAAGACATTTTTGGAGCAATGTCTTTGAGTAGGCAAGAGGGGATGGTATATGGTATGCAAGCGCAAGGGCTGGTTTTATTTATTTATTTATTTTTAAAGATTTTATTTATTTTTTAGAGAGCGAGCGCGAGAGAAACAGCATGAGAGGGGAGAGGGTCAGAGGGAGAAGCAGGCTCCCCACCGAACCAGGAGCCCGATGTGGGACTCGATCCCAGGACCCTGGGATCATGACCTGAGCCGAAGGCAGACGCTTAACCATCTGAGCCACCCAGGCGCCCCACAAGGGCTGGTTTTAGCCAGTAGCACAGACAGAGTGCAAAGAACATGGGGACAAATGCAGGTAGGTGAGGTGATGTCATGAGAGCTTGAAATTTTCGTATGTATGTTTGTATTTTCTCATTGAAATAGGTGGTGAGGTCATTAGCTAAGAGTGAGGATTAGGGATGTATGGTTGGAGGCCAAACAGCATTAGGGTCCGATTGCAGTAAATAAATTAAGTGAGACCAATGGTTGTGTATTTTACTCAAGCCAGGTTTTAGGTATAGTCATAGAGCTAAAAATTAGATTTAATCAGGGTTTACTTTTTTTTTTTTAAGATTTTATTCATTTATTCGACAGAGAGAGACACAGCGAGAGAGGGGACACAAGCAGGGGGAGTGGGAGAGGGAGAAGCAGGCTTCCCTCTGCGCCGGGAGCCCGACGTGGGACTCGATCCCAGGACCCTGGGACCATGACCTGGGCTGAAGGCAGACGCTTAACGACTGAGCCACCCAGGGACCCCAGGGTTTACTTTTTAATCAAGTGCAAAATAATAGAAACGCAAGAGAATTCAGAGTGTATGCAAGGGAATTATTTTTATCATTTGGCCATTTAATAATTTTTATCATGTGACCATATATAATTTAACCTGGTGTGTTAGTTTCATAGGGCTGCTATAACAGAGTACCACAAAATAAGTAGTTTAAAGATTTATTTATTTGACAGAGAGAGAGAGAGAGCACAAGCAGGGAAGCAACAGAGGGAGAGGGAGAAGCAGGCTGTCTGCTGAGCAGAGAGCCCTATGCAGGGTTTGATCCCAGGACCCTGGGATCATGACCTGAGCTGAAGGCAGACTCTTAACCGACTGAGGCACCGAGGCACCCCGCATGTCCAACTCTTGATCTCAGTTCAGGTCTTGATCTCAGGGCTGTGAGTTTAAGCTCCTCATTGGGCTCCCTTAAAAAAGTAAAAAATAAAGAGCAACTGGAATGATCTTAATGCAGATATGTCACTCTATTTAAAATACATCATTGATTTTCAATATACTTAAAATAAAACTGTAAATCCTTAACATGGCTCCAAGGCTTGGCACAATTTGACTCCTGCCGAACCTATCTTGTGCTTATCTCCGCTCTAGCCTTAGGAAATGCTCACATTATTGTTCCTTCTGTCTGCAATGTTCTTTTCCCAATTCTTCATTGTCTAAGCACTTCTGTTTTCAATATCATTTAACTGTTTGGTTTTCAGTATAATTTGCAGAGATACTTATTAAAAATAAATAATAAGACTTAAAATTTGTTTTACTGGATTAATTAATTACCATCAGCTCTTTCATAACATGATTTCCAACGGTGATAACACGCTCAGCCCTTTCTGAGTTGTTTTTTTATTCTTCTCTCAGTTTTCTGTAATGTTTTCAAAAAATTTTTCAGCAAGGGCATGTGGGTGGCATATTTTTTTCTAAGGATTTTTATGTCCAAGAATGTGCCCTCATTAAAAAAAAAAATGATAGTTGAGTGGGTTTTTAATTTCAAGTTACAATTTTTTTTTTCCTCTCATGGAGGAGGCACTGTTGGTTGCCTACCCAACAGCCATTTTCCCTTCTTTCTTATTAAGAGAACTCTGATTTTGTTGGGTAATCCACCCTTCTCCACCCAGCCATGCACTTTACTAAGCCAATTGCATTCCCCGTAAAAATGACTGGTTTAGGAATGGGCATGTGACACGACTCCAGCCAGTGAGATCTTTCTTCTTCTGCTTGATATGTCTACTTGTAATGCCTGGTACTGTAGGACCATCTTATGAACAAAAAGATGAGTAACTCAAGACAAGACTGATCCCCTAAGCTTGGCAAAGCAGAATTATGGGAGGAACCTAGGGTCTTTGAGCCACTAAATTAACTAACTCAGAGCCAACTTAGAAATTCTTATGTGAAATAATAAATCTGTTTTATTGTTTATACTGATCACATTGGGTTTTTTTATTTCTCCTGGTACACAACTTTTAACTTTATATATTGTTTCATTGCCCCTTCAGGGAAGTATGGGGTCAGCATGATACTTGTTTCTTTGTACACAACTTGTTTTTCTTGATTGATAGTTAGAATTATTCTAAAAAATATTTAAAATTAAAAAAAAGCCTCTACAGCATGTATAATCATTGGTTTATATTTTTCTTGGCACTTGGCTTTTTAACTTGGCAGATTCAAATCTAATACTAAAAGTTTTCTTCAATTATTTCAACAATTCTTGCTTTTTTTCCTGATACTTCTCATCTTGCATATTCTTTTTTTTTTTTTTTAAGAATTTATTTATTTATTTTTGAGAGAGACAGAGCACAAGAGGAGGAAGAGAGGCAGAGGGAGGAGCAGACTCCCCACTAAGCAGGGAGCCTGATGCAGGGCTGGATCCCAGGACCCCGGAATCATGACCTGAACTGAAGGCCGATGCTTAACTGACTGAACCAGGCAGGTGCCCTGATCTTGCTTTACATTTATTTATTTTTATTTTTTTTAAAAGATTTTATTTATTTGAGACAG